CTGCGAACAGAAATGAAGAATAAAGAATTATGAATAACGTCCAAGGCAGATGGAACATTAATAAATCTAAGATCCTAAAACTATAATGAAATGCTGGTGAGGTGCACATATCAGCTAACTAAAATGAAATGAAGGACTGGGTCTATACATTTTAGAACCTGCGCATTTATTCATTATTACGCGAAAGAAATGGGTTACAAAATAATGATAAGCTTAATCATAATAACGCCGATGATCCTAGAGATAAAAACCAATACAGACTTACTTCCGCAACTACTGTGACAATAACATAGCAATCGCAATATTAATACTAATGCTAATAATGGTGGTTACGATAAGGTGGTATGAACATTTCTCCTCAACTCCGAAGGGAAACTATAAATAGAGAGAGAGCGTTTTAAAAATCTTCCACTTCCACACCTCCAGGAGAGGAACGCACTTAAACCATTCACATAAAAAGCGTAAAAAAATCATTAATTAAAAGGACTCCATCGCGAGAGACGCGGAGAAGGGAGAGGGAGAGGAAAGGGGGATTGGTTAAGTGACGCGTGAGGTAATGAGTCATGGAAACTGATGAGAATGGAAGGACTTTATGGATGAGTCATGAAGAGGCTCCTTTCCCCATGAGTCCGGGGCCCGCCTTTTATCCGGGGAGACCGGCGCTGATCCCGACGCCGCCACAATGCACTCGTCGGCTTCCTCTTCCCAGGGCCTTTTTCCTCGCACTGCAGTTCTTTTTTCTCAATTCTATCGATTCTTGTCCTTAAAGTATTTTTTTTCTATTTAATTTTTTAATCTCCTACATCGCCTTCCTTCGCCTCTCTTCCGCACGTTTCTTTCTCCTCCTCGTTCTCCCTCTTCGGAAACACTCATCAGCGTGATACCGAAATAACGAAAGTAATTAGCGAAGTGTTCATCATGCCTCCCCCTCCCCCCTCCCTGCCCAGCACCCTCCAGCCGACTCTTCCCTCTGGAGCCCTTGCGAGGAGCGAGTGGCACTTTATAATGCCACTGTGGCTCTCCTCCCTTCCCCTGTCCCTCATGCTCCTCTCGGCTTTCCACTCTGCTCCCTCTCGTCTCTCTCCTCTATTCACTTTCTCCCTTCGTCATTTCTGCTTTCCTCTTCCCTCGATATCGCGTGCACTTCTTCCATTTTCCAACTACCCGCCTCCCCCTTGACTGCGCAAGAAGCGCTGCCGCCATTACCACCACAATCAACAGTTGAGATCGTTAAGACGCGCGGAGGAGCGTCCCGCTGTCCTCGACCCCGGCGCTGCGACGGCGATCAGCTGTCCTATGTCGGCAACGAGGGAGGGGGAAGAGAGGGAGGGGCGTATACGAGAAAGGAGGGAAAAATGAAAAGAGGGGGCGGGAGGGAGGGAGGGAAGAATGGAGGGAGGAAGAGAAAGAGGAAAGGAGAGCGGAAGGAGGCAAGAATACAGCAGGAGAAAGAAATAAGAATTGAGAATGACTAAAAAGCGACCATGGCGAGAGACCGCCCCTCCCCTAATGAGCCATGATATCCGCTATTATATCATGGCATAAAACGTCCTTTTCGCCCGACGCCATGGCAAGGGCTTCCACTGGGCGGCGGCGTTATCAGCGCTATCATTAGAGCCTCGAGTGTCCCGGCATTACCGTCGCACTGATTACGGCAACATTATCTTTATCAATATCATTAAGCAAGGTGTGTGCCGAGAGCCATCGCGCCGCCTAGACTTGTTTGGCTGCCTTGGTGGGGGAGTGGAGGGAGTGGAGGGAGGGGAGGGAGGGGAGGGAGGGGAGGGGAGGGAGGGGGAGGGGAGGGAGGGGGAGAGGAGGAAGGGGGGAGGGAGAGAAAAAAGAGAGAGTGAGAGTGAGAGTGAGAGGAGAGAGAGAGAGAGAGAGAGAGAGAGAGAGAGAGAGAGAGAGAGAGAGAGAGAGAGAGAGAGAGAGAGAGAGAGAGAGAGAGAGAGAGAAGAGTATATGCATACATATGTCCGTGCACATGCACATGCGCATGCACACACGTACACACTCACACAAATACACACTACCCCTGTCCCCCCGCCGTACGCCCACACAGAAGTCGGAATAAAAAGGGCAGCCCCGCCCTCCCGCCCGCCCACCTGTCCGCCCGCCAGCGCAGCCCGCCCGCCCGCGAAGCAGCAGAGCCGGCAGCCGCCCGGCACAGACCGCGGCCGCCAGGAACCAGAGCTCGCCCCTCCAACCGCGGGTGGTCTCCTCGGCCTCGTCTCCGCCCGCTGGATCAAGGCCACCCACAGCGCCGCCCTCCACCTCCCCGCGCACGCCCCTCCAGCCATCCAGTCAAGCACCTGTCACTCACCCACGCCCGCACGCCCGTCCGCCGCTTGCCGCTGCTCCCACTCCGCTCGCCTTCCCGCCCGTGGCCGACTAAATAAATAAACAATAATAATCCATATTTTCTTCCCGCTCCGAGCAGAGCATCTCCATCAAGCAATCCCTTCCCTCCAACAGCCTCCCTCACGCTGCCATCTTGCAAATCTGCCATGCTAAATATCCCGCCTGCCAATCATGCTCCGCGCTCATCCACTTAAATCATCCACATTCTCCATCCCAAACGCACAATCTACATCCACCAGTCAAGACAGGTTTAAGAGAGAGCCATGATGTAAAGACCATCTTCTTATTGGGTCCATCTACGAGGAGAGGACCGCGGCGGAGAGACGGCGGAGAGACGGCGAGGAGAGCGGACGGGGAGAAAAGGTGAGCGACGGAGAGCGGAGGGAAGAGTGAAGCGACTAAATGAGAAGAGAAAGAGAAAGAGAGGGAGAGGGGAGGGAGGGAGGGAGAGAGAGAGAGAGATGAGAGAGAGAGAGAGAAAGAGTATATGCATACATATGTCCGTGCACATGCACATGCGCATGCACACACGTACACACTCACACAAATACACACTACCCCTGTCCCCCCGCCGTACGCCCACACAGAAGTCGGAATAAAAAGGGCAGCCCCGCCCTCCCGCCCGCCCACCTGTCCGCCCGCCAGCGCAGCCCGCCCGCCCGCGAAGCAGCAGAGCCGGCAGCCGTCCGGCACAGACCGCGGCCGCCAGGAACCAGAGCTCGCCCCTCCAACCGCGGGTGGTCTCCTCGGCCTCGTCTCCGCCCGCTGGATCAAGGCCACCCACAGCGCCGCCCTCCCCCTCCCCGCGCACGCCCCTCCAGCCATCCAGTCAAGCACCTGTCACTCACCCACGCCCGCACGCCCGTCCGCCGCTTGCCGCTGCTCCCACTCCGCTCGCCTTCCCGCCCGTGGCCGACTAAATAAATAAACAATAATAATCCATATTTTCTTCCCGCTCCGAGCAGAGCATCTCCATCAAGCAATCCCTTCCCTCCAACAGCCTCCCTCACGCTGCCATCTTGCAAATCTGCCATGCTAAATATCCCGCCTGCCAATCATGCTCCGCGCTCATCCACTTAAATCATCCACATTCTCCATCCCAAACGCACAATCTACATCCACCAGTCAAGACAGGTTTAAGAGAGAGCCATGATGTAAAGACCATCTTCTTATTGGGTCCATCTACGAGGAGAGGACCGCGGCGGAGAGACGGCGAGGAGAGCGGACGGGGAGAAAAGGTGAGCGACGGAGAGCGGAGGGGAGAGTGAAGCGACTAAATGAGAAGAGAAAGAGAAAGAGAGGGAGAGGGGAGGGAGGGAGGGAGGGAGGGAGGGAGGGAGGGAGAGAGAGAGAGAGAGAGAGAGAGAGAGAGAGAGAGAGAGAGAGAGAGAGAGAGAGAGAGAGAGAGAGAGAGAGAGAGAGAGAGAGGGGGGGGGGGGGGGATATGCATTAGAGGAAAAATGATGAGTAAGAAAGGGATACGTACAGCTACACTGAAATGCGAACAGCCGGCACGGAAAGAAATGCGTCCGGCAGGAGAAGCAGAGGGAAAGAAGGGACAGCAGGGTACAGCCATACGTCACATGTTCCTTGAACTTCCGGCCACCCAAGCAGGAGCGCCCGGCCCGAGGAACAAGGGTCGGCCGCCGCCTGAATGCTAATTAATGAACCCGAGACACTTTCCTCCGATTTTTTGCCCAGCGGAATATAACCTAGACATCCTACTGCATAAGGATGTCTCAGTCTGTCCTGTCCTCCGTATGACGATTTATTTGCGTTCCTATTTAGCTCCAGAAAACGAGCAAAAGGCAAGGTAATGGAGCAAGCAAAACAGAAGGAAATGAGAATGTGAACAAAACAAAGCACAAGAAATAATGACAGAAAAAAAGAAGGATCACGAATGGAGACTAAAGAAAACCGCAAGGAACCAGACATGTGGCGCCCCGCTGGCTCTACAGCTGGTTCTTGCACCACGATACTCCGGAAGAAACCCGGAGGGGCAATTCTACAGCCCTTAGGGCCGTAAACTGTGTGAGGGAAGGTGGCGATGGTCCGGCTTACGACTTTTCATAAAGTCCTCTTACATGAATTCATTTGCTAGTGCTTCTCCTACATACGCTTCTCTACCTGCTCCTGCTCCCGTGTACAGCCTTCTCATCTGCCCTCTTCCTCTTTTTCCCTTCTCTACTGTCAGTCTTCCTTCCCCTTCTCCGCCTCCTCATATTTCCTAGATAAACAAACATTTTAGAGATTGATTCGTTTACCCCATCATTTCTTCCCTAGAGATTCCAGCCCAACAACAGTAACTTACTACTCAGTGCTGAGCAACGGCGAGGGGCGGGCTTCGAGGGATGAAGAGAAATAAGAGGATGACACGGGAGCTAGAGATCCAGGAGGGAAGAGGAACACATAAACATGAGGAACAGCGAGAAAGAAGAGACACTCTGAAGACTCAAAAATAACACAAGCGAACACTCGAAGAGGGGAAGAAAGGAAGGTGGGGTCAAGGAGAAAAAACAAATCGAAACGCCCACGCAGAAGGGAAAAGAACCAGTAAGAGGAGCTCGAAAAGAAGAAGAGCTACAAGAGCGAGGCGAGAGAGAGATAGAAGATAAAAGATAAAAAGAGAGCCTCCG